ACACTTGTTATTTACTAATGAAAAATTAACCTTGAGGTCGAATCACGTGCTATCGACACAGCGAGCCAGGACCTTAACACCCTGTTATTATTTAAAAAAAAAACAAAAAAAAAAAAAACAAAACAAATAATAACAAGAAAGAGGCGTCCTTGTCAATTTGTCAATCTCTTTCACAGTCATTCCCTACCGCAAGCCTCAGCGACAAGTTGCGCCTACAACTCCTGTCCGCAAAGTCCACAAAAGGGGGGGGGGGGGGGGGGGGGGGAGGCAAGTGTTCTGCTCCATGACACCAGAACTGGGACCTCACACGTTACTTTTTTCACATTTTAGCTTATTTTATTTCAAACACTTTTTGGATTTTTTGAATTCCCCCCCCTCTCCCTCCCCCACGTAACTTAGTCCCCCATGACACTGGTGCATCCTTTTCCGTTTCTAACTTTCTGTGACTATATCCATCCATATTCCCCCCGCCCATCCCTCCGTCTCCATCCAAGCATACCCTGTGTCCATACATCCGTCCACTCCTCTATTCAATCTGACCGTCCACTCGACTACCAAGCATATAAAATCCTCTATTCAATCTGACCGTCCACCGCTCTATTCAATCTGACCGTCCACTCGACTCGACTACCAAAGCATATTGAATCGCATGCGTCTGTTCCATCCATCCATCCATCCAACCAACCAACCCATCCAGGCCATCCAACCAACCAACCCATCCAAGCCATCCAACCAACCAACCAACCAAGCCATCCAGGCCATCCAACCAACCAACCCATCCAAGCCATCCAACCAACCAACCAACCCATCCAACCAACCAAGCCATATATGCTTTGCTGGTTGGATGGCTTGGATGGCTTGGATGGCTTGGATGGCTCGGTTGGATGGCTTGGATGGATGGATGGATGGATGGCTTGGATGGCTTGGATGGATGGATGGATGGATGGCTTGGATGGCTTGGTTGGATGGCTTGGATGGCTTGGTTGGATGGCTTGGATGGATGGATGGATGGATGGATGGATGGAACAGACACATGCGATCCAATATGCTTTGCTAGTCGAGTGGACGGTCAGATTGAATAGAGGGGTGGACGGTCAGATTGAATAGAGGGTTTTATATGCTTGGTAGTCGAGTGGACGGTCAGATTGAATAGAGGAGTGGACGGATGGACGGACGCAGGGTATGAATGGACGGATATATGGATGGATGTATAGATGGATTGAAGTTTGCTTCACCCATACATCATCATACGGCTCTACAAAGTTCCAAACATCTCAACCCCTCCTCTTCTATCCATTCAATTACCATTCGACTACCATCCATCAACCCTCTCTCTCTCTCTCTCTCTCTCTCTCTCTCTCTCTCTCTCTCTCTCTCTCCACATCCACCTAAACCTGCCTCTACCTCTCCCACAGGGTACAACTAGCTTGTTTAGAACCTTCGAGGCACACCACCTTCTGTCTCGCCGCTGCTCCACGGTCGCTAACGTGCAAATGACAAAGCTGCAGAGATGGACCCCACTTGACGAGCGCCTACCGTGCCACAATAATTTTTAACTTTATACTAGTTTATTTATAGTGGTACATCATCTTCCGAACCGCCACGTAAATAGACAAGAATTTAAGTTTGCCGCCGCGCGAGCTCATAGATAACAAGATATTTGTAATTGCAGACAGAGACTGACAGAACAAAAACGCTAATACAACAATTGGATCCAATTGATAGTCGTTCAAAAAAGAACATCGCACGCAAAAGAGTAATGGTCCAGCCTCCTCACTCGATTTCTCAAGTGCCAAAAAACTTTTTAAAAAAACATAAATTCCTTTACACCTTCCCCTCCCCCCTTTCCAAAAACAACCAAAATGCCTTCTTTATTTATGTTCCCATCCTTCTCGACGGGTCACGCACCCGTCAATCTAGGTCACGCGCCCGTCCGTCCGGCCGCTCAACTGGTCCAACCGTCGGCTCATCGACATGTTTTGGTAACCCACCCCACTCCACTGCATCCTCAGGACCCTTCCGACTTCGCAACAGCTTTCCCGTTCAACCATGCCCGTCTCTCTTTTGTTTGCTTTTGCGATTTCTCAAGTGCCAAAAATATTTAAAAAAAACAGAAAAAATTCCTTTACACCTTCCCCTCCCCCCCCTTCCAAAAATAACAAAAATGCCTTCTTTATTTACGTTCCCATCCTTCTCGATGGGTCACGCGCCCGTCCATCCGTCCATCCGTCCGCCCGCTCAACGGGTCCAACCGTCGGCTCGTCGACATCTTCTGGGTCAATTTTGGCAACCCACTCCACGGCATCCTCAGGACCTTTCCGACTTCGCAACAGCGTTCCCGTTCAACCATGCCCGTCTCTCTTTTGTTTGCTTTTTTGATTCCCTCTTTCTTTTCCCCCCCCCTTCCAAAAATAACAAAAATGCCTTCTTTATTTACGTTCCCATCCTTCTCGACGGGTCACGCGCCCGTCCATCCGTCCGTTCGTCCGCCCGCTCAACGGGTCCAACCGTCGGCTTGTCGACATCTTCTGGGTCAATTTTGATAACCCACTCCACTCCACTCCACTCCACTCCATCCTCAGGACCTTTCCGACTTCGCAACAGTGTTCCCATTCAACCATGCCCGTCTCTCTTTTGTTTGCTTTTTTCATTCCCTTTTTTTTTTTTTGCCCGACTCACCATTTAGCAGCGCAGTGATGTTACCTCGGAGATGACAGGAGATGATGATGCTGCTCCGTTTGCGTCTCTGAAAATGCCGCCTGTGCCTCTGACAGATTGCTTCTGTCAGGATTTGCTCAGATGTCTACAGACTGCCTTTCCGCCGGTGCGACAAATTGCCAGAGAGACACGTAGGACGAAATTTCTCGCGCTTTTACATTGTACTTTGTCAGCTGCCGGCCAAACTCCTGCCACATCAGAGAAGAATTCATCGAAATCATTGAATGAATGAATTCATTGGCAAAGGCATAGACAACGACAACAAGCGGCACGTCAGTGGCCGCGTATAGCAGATCAACGTCAGCCAGTGTGTACCTCAGTGTGTAAGTAGAATACAAGCGCGGTAATTTTGACCCACACCAGGCGGGCATGGTTGCCCAGGCAACCATCATCAAGCAGGCATGGTCGGGCAGTCTCAGCACAAAATTTCAAAAGAATGAAAAGACGCGTATTTAAAAATAATTTGATTCTGTGGTGTATATGGAATGAGCGTTTCGCTACTAAGCTACAAGCTGAGTAATGCTCTCAGTGTTTTTTTTTTTTTTTCCAGGTTGAATTGTGAGGTCCCCGGCCTCAAATGGAATATTAAAAAAAAAAAAAAAAAAA